TTTATTTTTATTTTTAGCAAGTCACAGATAAGGTTTTCTAAAGCTTGATCTCGAAAGATAAATTCTTGGAAGTGAAATATTATTAAAACTAGAATCTTCAGTATTACAAATAATTATCCAGGCTAGATATTGATGTATAGATTTAACGCTGTGCTCAATAAGCACTAATTGGGTTCATTGTAAAGTGTGTTACTTGAATGAGTGTTTTGTCACGTGGCCTTAGTAGATGGGAAGTTCACTCATTGTCCGCCGTCATTGTTTTGCGGAATATTTCTAATGATGTAATCATAAATTTTAACAAACGACACATCCGTTGCCATGATTGAAATTGTAACTCAAACATTAAGACACCAATTAAAAGGGAAAACCACTTAAAAGCCATTATTTATCATCGTTCATTGTTTCAGCCAGTGAATCAAATTGAATCCCTTTGCCATCCTATTTAGGGCCACGTGCCATGGGTTGAGAACCTGTGCTCTAGTAATTTGATTAATTGGCTGCTTATGTGTCCAAATACATCGAGATTATGTAGTGTTTTTAAAATTCCGAAATCAACCCAGTAAGATATACTATAGATTCGTGTACTAAGATTTCTTATTGCTCGTAATTTCCAAACCCTTAATACACGTTACTACTATTAACAATTATATTTTGTAAATATTTTGGGACGCCCTCGAAACTAGATTTTGGGACATGCGACCTAAAAAAAAGAAAGCAAAACGTTTGTAAAGTTAAATCCTAAATTTTGTTTGCAGATCCATCTCCTTGGATTCCCGTATTTTCTTTAACAGGACAAATGCTGACACAGACTTCCTTCATAATTCTACCCTTTGATAGCCATTCGTGTCAATGGTAAACCCATGGAAGTAGATGAAGAGCTCCTGCCGATGAAATGAAAGGCCTACAAATAAGATAACAATTAAAAACGTACATTTTGCACACAAAGCAACAAAAAAAACAACAACAACAAAAAAAAACAACAACAAAAAAAAAACTCCAATTTCTGAAGGTCTCAAGCGATCCCTGGCATATTTTCAGGCAACTCCCCGAGGGCTGAGAACCACTGATTTGGTAGCGACAGAAACACATCACATTAAAAACACGAGACGTGTTAAACGCATGCTGTTTGAGTGACACGAGATTATAGCCTTGGGCGTTACTATGATTAGACTTTCTTAAAGTCAACGGTAGGTCTTTCATCGGTGTAATTATTCGTAACAGAGGTCAACCTTTGTGCATAAAATTTCCCAATTTAAAATAAAATATGAGTGACCTCAAAGACAGGACCGTGGGAAGGGGAGTGGCGAAGGCTGCCCGGGCCCCATTCTCGGGGGAGCGCTAAATTAATTAATTATCCATTTATAGATACCTATATATATATATAAATCTAGCTTGGTAGTCATTTAAAAAGAGGGCGTTTGAGAGATTCTTGTTTTTGAAGTGGTAAGGATGTCAGGATATCTTTTTTTTTTTTTAGACTGACTTTAAAAATAATAATTTATTATTGAAGTAGTTTAAACAAATAAACAGTTAATTTTTAAAAAAAATGAAGAAGCACTACATTCAGTAAGAAGAAATACGGAGGTATCTAGCTTGGTAGTCATTTAAAAAGAGGGCGTTTGAGAGATTCTTGTTTTTGAAGTGGTAAGGATGTCAGGATATCTTTTTTTTTTTTTAGACTGACTTTAAAAATAATAATTTATTAATGAAGCAGTTTAAACAAATAAACAGTTAATTTTTAAAAAAAATGAAGCAGCACTACATTCAGTAAGAAGAAATACGGAGGTGGTGCCAGGGAAGACCCAGAACATGAGGTTCATTTGCATTAAAAAAAAAAAACGCGGTTTCTTCTGCTTATATTTCTTGATCATTCTGGCTCCTGGTTTGAATTCAGAGTTTGCCTTCTTGTTGAAGATGGGTTACCGTACAAGGCTAAAGAGTCTCATCCAACCGGGGTGCTTTGGTGGGGATTGAACTCCAGACCACCAGCTATAGTTGAGACCGCTCGGCCACCCAGCACCTTTCGCGGCTGTGGGATTATTGGGATATATATATATATATATATATATGTTTTGAATTCAAGAGGGGGTGTGGCGATTTAAAAAGGTTAAGAATCACTGTACTATCATCTCTTCTCTTGCTATTTGATAAAGTGTGGAGTGATAAAATAAAATCCCAATTATTTTCAGGTTAGAGACAAAATGAATTCTTGCATTTTGAATGTATCATAATTGTCATGGGGGAGTGGCTCACTGAGCCCCTTCTCATTTATCACAAACATAAAAAGATTTCAACAAATCTGCAATTCAAAAACCAAATGAGCGGTTCAGGTCCATTAATCACGTAATGTAAATAATCAGCACACACACACACCCATCTGATTTTCTTTTTAAAGCATCCTACTGCAAAGAATCTGAATCAAAATGATTGATTGATTGATTGATTGATTGATGTGCGTGCCACGGGGGCCAAGGTTTACTTCCGCATTTGGTATGCTGGGGAGCACGGACGTTGATTTCCGTTAGGTTGGCCCGACAGAGAACTTCAGCTCGTCGGATTAAGCCATCTCAAAGGTGGCCAGAAAGCCATCGCATGTCTTCGTGCAGTGTCTGATCTTTCCCTGAGATCACGAAACTACTCTATGAAAAGTAAGTTATTTATCTGATTATAGCTGACGTTTCAGTGTTGGTATTGAGATAACTCCAAGCGTGGGACTGATATTCATTTTCCCACTCTTTTCAACATTTTCCCACTCTTTTCGTATGTCTTCTAGGTCCACTAGGACTTCTAGGTCCACTAGGACTTCTAGGTCCATTAGATCTTCTAGGTCTTCTAGCTCTACCAGGTCTTCTAGGTCTACATTTACTCTTCATGTTTCATATTCCCCACCCCCTTTTCCCACCAGACGTGTTTTATGTAAAGTCACTCAATAAATTGTTCCTCTGTGTAGATTATTGATTTCCAGTAGGTGTCAATACGAAGAATGTCAATCACCTATCGACCAAATATATGCATCAGTAATTTACTGCCGAGTTTCCTTACTCTAATTTTTCCCCACGAAAATCTGATTTTCACATTTTTTAATTAAGCGCCCATTTCAGTAATTATCTAATATGCAGGGTACTGCTACACAGAATTTACTGGCGATTAGATATGGAGTATGAACATGTAGGAAAAAAACTATATTTTTGGAAAGGAAATAGCAAAATGAGTTGGTTCATTACTATATCCGCCTTCAAATCTTTTGTGGCTAATCAATCACCATGGATTGGATGACGTTACCGTGTATTGAAAGGAAACAAATTATTCAGATTATGAGAATACAAATGTTATCGATTTTTTTTTTTTTAGAAACAATAAACATGATTTTTTAACAAGCCCAAATTGAAAAAAAAAAAAAAAAGTAGGCGGCGTCCAGGGACAAGCTACTCTGTTTTACTATTTTTAAAAATGGACGTACCCTTATATAGATACTCGGTGGGGAACGTTTATTATTTTTTAAAACAAATTTTTGGGGTGGGGGGTGGGGGGGGGGTTTCCACAAAAAGGGAAAAAGTTGTAGGAAATGAAGAGTAGAATTAACCACACTATAGTTTAAGTCATGAAGCTCTAAATCTAAATACAATTTAAGGAAGAAATGTTTAGTACGTTTTTTGACTAACATTTAAGGCAAAGATGTGGGTTCAATTCTTGTACACCCAGCACCCTCATGCATGCATCTAAATTCAGCTGCTCTCAACCTGTGGGTTGCGACCCCTCTGTGGGTCGATCGACCCTAGCACAGGGGTCACTTAAGACCATCGGAAAACACATAGTTATGAAAGAGGAACAAAAATAATTTATGGTTGGGGGGTCACCACAACATGAGGAACTGTATTAAAGGGTCGCGGCATTTTGAAGGTTGAGAACCACTTATCTAAATTCACATTATAAAAATTAGGATCTGTATTTTGACTTGCTGAGAATGTCCATTGACAGAGCCAATTCGATATAAAGATTGAAAGCAATTTTTTGAAATGCCCCAATTCTATCGTTAAAGACTCGTGTGTGTCAGAATGCTTTGCCCACATTTCCCACATTGCCCACATTTCCCACATGGCCCACATTGCCCACATTGCCCACATTGCTCACATTTCCCACATTGCCCACATTTCCCACATCGCCCACATTGCCCACATTGCTCTGATTGAAGAATACCGCTGCAAGTTTTTTAAAAAAGGGGTTAAAGATTGTTGAGTACAAATGGCATATTATTTTCAAGGCACATATTATTTTTTCCAAAGCCTAAACTGTCGTGAAAAATCATGGCTCGAATGCTCAATATCAAAGTACAATGGATCATGCAAAAAGAACTGATATGCCGGCTTGTACTTGTTAAATTCAATTAAATGATCTTTAAATTTTGCAGGTTTAGGCTTCAGTTCACAATTTTTCCCCTTGCATTTAGAAAACGGCCCAAATTTTCAATAAAAGGGATCAAAACAACCTTCTTAGTTTGAACCTGAAAAAAGTGTGTTACAACGCGAATCCTTCAAATCCAAAGTCGTCTCACTTTAGAGCTCCATTCGCCACTTGTGTCGTATGACGATAGGGCTACCCACCGGGTATAGGTCAACACCACTTAAATTGGGTAGCTTGCAAACACTTGAAAGGACTGGAGTGTCTTCTTTGGACTTTGGGTTGTGAACGTCTTTTTTTCGCGCAGGACATTATAGAGTTGTTACAGGACATTACAGAGAAATCCCAGTTGTCAACAACATAATCAATTATTTGTCCCCCCCCCCCCACACACCTTCTTACCTAGCTTAAGACTGCTGTAAACAGTTTAAGTAAGTGCCCGGTAAGAGCACCCTTCCTCGCTTACACATTAGCACGACATTTTGTGTGATGTCATTACAACGTTTGTGTCAGTCGGGTTGCGCACTCTCTGTTACCCATTTCGTGAGTTTCCGTTGCGGTAATTCTCGGTGTTTCCCGTTCAAGGGCACTAGTCTGCTAAACCTCGGAATTACAATGTGTCATTTTTATTCTATTTGCAATTTATTGTAATTATATATTAAGATTCAATAGTTTGTTTCAAAAATATCTAAAATTCATGTTTAAAGAATTGCTGACGCTGGAAGCGATCATTTGAAGCGCAATCCTACTTTATAATAAAGGTTCAAAATAACAAAATTGATTTTTCTCAAATTTTTCGATTTTTTAAAATATACTTACCAAACACCCCCACCACTACCACTACCACCACCATTTCATTTTACGCTCTTTACTGGATTTTTGGAAAATAGTAAAATGTGTGTTTTATTCTTTATAAAGGAAGTTTAAAGAATCCACTGACAAGTCTGTACATCTATGGTTTTCTGAGCTAAGAGTTTCCTCATTAAAAAAAAACTCCCCTCCTTTTCACGTCATAAATAAGGGTGTTACTATTATTTTTTAAAACCCCCTTCCTGAGTGGGTGACCACGTCATAAAAACAAAGTAACCTTAAATTTTCACACTTGAACTGAGCGTTGGTGAGTCAGTGTGTCCATCAGTTATCCCCGAGTAACCGTAGTGGAGGTTCTCAAGTTAATGAATGCATTCCATATAAATAAATTGTTATAGCCTTGTGCTGACCCAGTTTTTGCTTCAACCACTTGTCTCCACTTTTTTTTTTTTTTGGTTTTGATATTAATTACACCAAGTAAATGTGTAATGCTATACCAACCCACCCCTCTCTTGATTAGGAAAAAAGGTTAATAACGTTCTATTTGTTCTAAAGAATTCAATTTGTAAAATTTCTCTTCTGGAGGGTTCTAGCTACAGGGGCATCATTTCAGGTTTTTTCATGGGTAGGGAGCAAAACAAAAATTTGGTCGGCTTGTTAAGTTGTTCATTACTGGAGGCACCACAGTAAACATCAATTTAAATAAAACCTGCAAATTTAGGCGTTTGGGGGTAAATGTCACACCCTACCCTCCTCAAAATAACGTCCCTGTCTATCTACCCCCATAAAAATAAGCTGGCAATTTTCCCAGCTTGGAGATATTTTTGCCAACTGTCCTAGACATTAACGACATGTAATATACTGATAGTAGCGTTACTAGATTGTACTCTTTGTGTGTATATATTAATATTTTTATCTTTAAGGGATTTTTTTTTTCACTTAATGTGCCGTAAGTTCATCTAGGTTTAAAATTTGCTTTTGTAGATTTGATTTTGCAATTTTTAGATAAACTTCATCGCATAATGAAATTGAATTGTTTTAATATCACTAGCTTTAGTGGCAATTTCTTTGTATGCTGGTTGTCAGCCCTTTGTTGTGTCTTATTCATTGAACGAGCAAAATATTAGAGAAGATTAAATTTGCAAACTCATATAGCGGTACGCAACAATTCAATTTATGAAGGTCTAATGAGGTGAGGACCATTGCTATAAGGAACACAGCGAGAGTTTATCTGTTAGCCACCTTCCTGCTCTGAAATGCCTATAGGAATGAGGTATTATGGTAAGGGCAACCTGTTATGGTTTTGAGAATCTTGATTAAAATGTACTTGGTTATTTCAGGTCATGCAGTGGTCACTATGTCTTGCGATAGTCCTGGTGCTCACGCTGCCCGCTGCTGACCTTCAGTTTGCCGGACTGGCTGACCAGCCACAAATAAAGGACTCACTCCGCCTGGCCAACATCTTAATGAACCGACCGATCGAAGGGCCGAGCCTCAGGAAGGACTGCCGCATGCTGAACGCCACTGACTTCCAGAGGATCATCAGCGCTGTCAATGCGGCCAAGGCTGATACGGTAAGCTTATAGACCTCCCGACTACAAGGCTGATACGGTACGGTTATATACCTCCCCACTACAAGGCTGACAAGGTAAGGTTATATACTTCCTCACCACAACGCTGACAAGGTAAGCTTACAATATACTTCCCCACTACACGGCTGAAAAGGTAAGCTTATATACTTCCTCACTACAAGGCTGACAAGGTAAGCTGATATACTTCCCCACTACACGGCTGAAAAGGTAAGCTTATATACTTCCTCACTACAAGGCTGACAAGGTAAGCTGATATACTTCCCCACTACACGGCTGACAAGGTAAGCTTATATACTTCCCCACTACACGGCTGACAAAGTAAGCTTATATACTTCCCCACTACAAGGCTGACAAGGTAAGCTTATATACTTCCTCACTACAAGGCTGACAAGGTAAGCTGATATACTTCCCCACTACACGGCTGAAAAGGTAAGCTTATATACTTCCTCACTACAAGGCTGACAAGGTAAGCTGATATACTTCCCCACTACACGGCTGACAAGGTAAGCTTATATACTTCCCCACTACACGGCTGACAAAGTAAGCTTATATACTTCCCCACTACAAGGCTGACAAGGTAAGCTTATATACTTCCTCACTACAAGGCTGACAAGGTAAGCTGATATACTTCCCCACTACACGGCTGAAAAGGTAAGCTTATATACTTCCTCACTACAAGGCTGACAAGGTAAGCTGATATACTTCCCCACTACACGGCTGACAAGGTAAGCTTATATACTTCCCCACTACACGGCTGACAAAGTAAGCTTATATACTTCCCCACTACAAGGCTGACAAGGTAAGCTTATATACTTCCTCACTACAAGGCTGACAAGGTAAGCTGATATACTTCCCCACTACACGGCTGAAAAGGTAAGCTTATATACTTCCTCACTACAAGGCTGACAAGGTAAGCTGATATACTTCCCCACTACACGGCTGACAAGGTAAGCTTATATACTTCCCCACTACACGGCTGACAAAGTAAGCTTATATACTTCCCCACTACACGGCTGACAAGGTAAGCTTATACATTTCCCCACTCTAAAGCCATAAATACTAACAAAAAAAATTATTTGGACAACAACTAACGAGTAACATTTTTTTCCTCCGAATATCCACAGAAAACTCACAGCAACCCCTTACCACACAGCCACCCCTTACCACACAGCCACCCCTTACCACACAGCCACCCCTTACCACACAGCCACCCCTTACCACACAGCCACCCCTTACCACACAGCCACCCCTTACCACACAGCCACCCCTTACCACACAGCCACCCCTTACCACACAGCCACCCCTTACCACACAGCCACCCCTTACCACACAGCCACCCCTTACCACACAGCCACCCCTTACCACACAGCCACCCCTTACCACACAGCCACCCCTTACCACACAGCCACCCCTTACCACACAGCCACCCCTTACCACACAGCCACCCCTTACCACACAGCCACCCCTTACCACACAGCCACCCCTTACCACACAGCCACCCCTTACCACACAGGCCACCCCTTACCACACAGCCACTCCTTACCACACAGGCCACTCCTTACCACACAGCCACCCCTTACCACACAGGCCACTCCTTACCACACAGCCACCCCTTACCACACAGGCCACCCCTTACCACACAGCCACTCCTTACCACGCTTTTTCATTAATAATTTTTAGCAGGAAACAGAATAATTTTGTCAAATGACACATTGCTTTTCTCAAAAGAACATTTATCTTGTTACACTTTGTCAGTTTTATTAGTAGACTCACTTATAAACAAGGGAAGTTTACCACACATTTAGACAACACACATAGTCTCCCTCACAGACACCCGTAGACCGCTGTTCAGGGGGATCAAAGAAAGTTGGATGTGCCAAAACCGTCTTCATATGGGCATCGATGGGTGCTATATACATAAAAGTCGAACTAATCCGATCAATTTATTTTTTTGGACAATAATTGAATCCACCAATGAATGCTGATGCAAGCCGACTGTATGAGACATGAGTCCCATTCATGTAAGCCGACTGCGTGAGACATGAGTCCCATTCATGTAAGCCGACTGCGTGAGACATGAGTCCCATTCGTGTAAGCCGACTGCATGAGACATGAGTCCCATTCATGTAAGCCGACTGCATGAGAAATGAGCCCCATTCATGTAAGCCGACTGCATGAGACATGCGCCCCATTCATGTAAGCCGACTGCATGAGACATGCGTCCCATTCATGTTAGCCGACTGCATGAGACATGAGTCCCGTTCATGTAAGCCGACTGCATGAGAAATGAGTCCCATTCATGTAAGCCGACTGTATGAGACATGAGTCCCGTTCATGTAAGCCGACTGCATGAGACATGAGTCCCATTCATGTAAGCCGACTCCATGAGACATGAGTCCCATTCATGAAAGCCGACTGCGTGAGACATGAGTCCCATTCATGTAAGCCGACTGCATGAGACATGAGTCCCATTCATGTAAGCCGACTCCATGAGACATGAGTCCCATTCATGAAAGCCGACTGCGTGAGACATGAGTCCCATTCATGTAAGCCGACTGCATGAGACATGAGTCCCATTCATGTAAGCCGACTCCATGAGACATGAGTCCCATTCATGAAAGCCGACTGCGTGAGACATGAGTCCCATTCATGTAAGCCGACTGCATGAGACATGAGTCCCATTCATGTAAGCCGACTCCATGAGACATGAGTCCCATTCATGTAAGCCGACTGCATGAGACATGAGTCCCATTCATGTAAGCCGACTGCATGAGACATGAGTCCCATTCATGTAAGCCGACTGCATGAGACATGAGTCCCATTCATGTAAGCCGACTGCATGAGACATGAGTCCCATTCATGTAAGCCGACTGCATGAGACATGAGTCCCATTCATGTAAGCCGACTGCATGAGACATGAGTCCCATTCATGTAAGCCGACTGCATGAGACATGAGTCCCATTCATGTAAGCCGACTGCATGAGACATGAGTCCCATTCATGTAAGCCGACTGCATGAGACATGAGTCCCATTCATGTAAGCCGACTGCATGAGACATGAGTCCCATTCATGTAAGCCGACTGCATGAGACATGAGTCCCATTCATGTAAGCCGACTGCATGAGACATGAGTCCCATTCATGTAAGCCGACTGCATGAGACATGAGTCCCATTCATGTAAGCCGACTGCATGAGACATGAGTCCCATTCATGTAAGCCGACTGCATGAGACATGAGTCCCATTCATGTAAGCCGACTCCATGAGACATGAGTCCCATTCATGAAAGCCGACTGCGTGAGACATGAGTCCCATTCATGTAAGCCGACTGCATGAGACATGAGTCCCATTCATGTAAGCCGACTCCATGAGACATGAGTCCCATTCATGTAAGCCGACTCCGTGAGACATGAGTCCCATTCATGTAAGCCGACTCCATGAGACATGAGTCCCATTCATGTAAGCCGACTCCATGAGACATGAGTCCCATTCATGTAAGCCGACTCCATGAGACATGAGTCCCATCATCCTCTTGTTTGCCTTGCAGCGCATCCGTCCCAATGTCCACGACGCTTTCTCCTACCTCCACGCTCACCCGGATGTCAACAAGGGAGCTCACCTGGGACCTTCATTTCTGCCGTACCACAGAGTGTTTATCTTTTTGTAAGTATCACGGGATAATAATTTAGTGTCACGGTGTAACAGAGAAGTTTATTGGTTGTTAAAAAAATTAATTTTACAGCGATGCTTTATTGGCTGGTAAAAACATTAGCACAGTTCAACTTACAGAGAAGTCATCCGCCGAGGATAAAGCGATTAACCATTGAGCTGTGATAAGGTACATATTAAGCACAAGGCATCTAAAAGCTGGATTAAACAAAAAAAAAAAAAATAATAACGAAACAAATTAAATAAGTTTTGCGGAAATAGAGATTATGAAATTTAGTTGGAAGATAACAGAAAAAAAGGCTGTGAGTTTGTTTTTTTCTTCTGCATAAAAAAAAAAAAATGAAGTTGACTTTTATCATATGGTGACATTTCGACAGAACTCTGTGTCAGTCTGTGTCAGTCTGTTTCAGTCTGTGTCAGTCTGTTTCAGTCTGATTCAGTCTGTTTCTCAAACAAACCCTCGCTGGTTTATTTTTGGGTAGATTATAATCATTTGTGGTGCCCCAACCACCTGGTGCCCCCCCGCCTAGTGCTCCCACATGGTGCCCAACCACCTGGTGCCCCCACCTAGTGTCCCACCCGCCGGTGCCCCACCCACCTGGTGTCACACGACATGTCTATTCAATAACTTTAATTGTCCATTTGAAAGTTCCATACACAATGTCACATTGATCAGTTGAAAGAATTCGCATTTTTTCCCGCCACTGAAGGTATGAGAAACTGTTGCGCATCTATGACCGTAACATCAGCTTGTGTTTCTGGGACTCGTCTGCTGAACCTGAGAAAATGACCTGGTCAGCCTTATGGACTCCAGAACTGTTTGGTAACGTACAGGGGCTTGTGTCCACTGGGTTTGCTAAAGGCTGGGTCACACCACTGCGTGCCTTGGACAGACAAGGTATGTTATACTGGACATGTTAGACATATGCAATCTCGTACATATCAGATATTATGTTATCTTGGACAGAGTAGAATTTTTATCCTGGGCATATTAGGTATACTTTTATGTTGGACATATTTTTCTTCTTCTCCTTATTTGACTCTCCAACTCCCATGTTGGACAGATTAGGTATGCTATGTAGGACCAAATAAATATGGTACATTGGACACGATATCTTGGACTAAATAAATATGTTATTAGAACAGATTAAATATGCCAGGAATATGCCATGTGTGGTTAAAAATTCGAAGGAGTCGTAAAACAAGAACTAAACGCTCCACGCTTCTTCTCGGGTAAAAGCCATGGATTTCATATACGCGATTGGTCTTATTTCTTCTTCCCGGGGAAAAGCCATGGATTTCATATACATGATTGGTCTTATTTTTCACGAATATTTTCAATATTTTTTTAAAGACTCCAAATGCGACATTTAATTATACAACAAATAACAGTGACAGCAGCAGATCCCTTTATTTAGACACACTGTATGAATTGTATCCAACAGGCGCAACACAGGGGCGTCCCATGACAGACGACGATGTCAAGGTGGTCTTGTCGAAGAAGAGGCTCGGGGAGATCTCCATGCCCGCGGCCGAAGTCAACGCCAATGTCGAACTGATGCACAATTACGTTCACACCTACGTCGGAGGCATCATGGGGCAGGTGAGGAATGGGGCTTCAGAGTAGGTGTACCTGTACAGAGAAACGATTTTACGTAAGCTTTGGTTCCCCAAGCACATAGTTTTGACGCTGTTTTCACCATGGACCCCGTTAGTATAGTCTATTGAAGGCTAGGATAACCAACAGCATGACCTCGTAACACGTAGATAATGGAAAGACAATGATGGCCTAAATATGCGTGTTGTTATGACCGTATGTATAGGTAGGTCAAGGAGCGGCCACCTTGCTGCAATATTTTAACAATGACAGAATTATCCGGTGATGTGTCGCCTAAACTAAAATATAAGCGACTGCTAAAAAACCTTTTTATATCTCTTAGGTTCAAACGGCTGCCTACGACCCCATCTTCTGGTTTCACCACACATTCATCGACTGCCTCTACGAGAAATTCCAAAGGAGGCAGCGGGAATTGGGGATCGACCCTATGAGGGACTGGCCGGTGGAGCACGCCGACGACGCACACGGTCCGTTCGCCCCGATGAGACTCGGCAGTCTCCGGAACATCGACGGCGCCCAGGAGTTCTTCAGTCGGGAGATCGTCAGGTGCGAGCACATCCCGCCGTGCACCAACGACACCGAGTGCGGAGAGTACATGCGCTGCGACAAGGCGCGGCAGAAGTGCGTCTCGGATACCCTGAGACCGGCCATGGAGCTGGGCACGATGTGGAGCAGTGTGGAGAACCTTCTGACTTCCATGCTTCGTGGTCGGCTGTCCTCACAGAATGACCCTCTACAAGCATCTAGTTTTGGTTTCGGGATGGTGTTCCAGCAACCGGAACTGTTCGCGTTTTCTGGGTCAGGCAATACTAAAAAAATGTAGACGTTAAATAAATGCATTTTTTTTTCTTTTAAAAAAACTGTTCAGATATTTTAAAAATTATTTTCTACTTTTTAAAATTTAAAGAATATATTGGTTTTTTTTTATAATCGAAAAAAAATAAATTAGTGGTTTGTGTTTATAAGATTTACTTTTAATAATCAATTGAAAATTTCTACTGCTAAAATACGCGCAATGTAAGCGGGAACACTGCATTTAATTGATTTGGCCAACACCTACTTCAAACAGTTGAACAACAGACCACATACCATTTAAACGCATCGCTAATAGAGAGCACTTCATTTATAACAATAATAATAATTATTATTTTGTGATCAAGAGCCGCATCGTTTGTTTGTACTAACTTCAAATGTGTCGACACATTAATACAGAAAAATAAAATAGACTTCACAAAATAAAAATATCTTGATTTGGTCAAAATTATGTTTTCGTTGGGGGATTTGTCCACACATATAAATATTTATGTGTACGTGTAAAACCGTGATGACTGTGACTCTGGATGGAAGCACCGTCCTTTAAGGTTAAATAAAGATGTTCTGTACTCTGACGTGCTTTGAAATCTCCCATGTCACACAGAAAAAAAATTTAAAAATTAAAAAAAAAAAAAATAAAAAAGTTAGGAGACCACCAAAAAAGAACTCAAGAAAAAAAAAAAAAAAAAAAAGGAGGGGGGCAGGGGGAACGAACTGGTGACGATATGTTAAGGTTTAAATTCTGTGAATAATTTAGGACAATGTGTAAATCAGTGTAGACAAAACCAGTCAACCGTTCATCAAGCCACTCTAACGACTTGCTTTAAGGTTAAGGTTACATTCACACGTGACCAGGAGAAACACAGGTATAGTTACAATTTCGAATGAAATGCAGTTTCTAAAACGGCCGCCGTCAGACACACTTTGCCTCACTTCAGAGCACAGCAGGCAGGCCGCGAAGTCTGAGAGGTGACAAATGTAATATGGGGAAAAGATGTGCAACGTAGTCTTGAGGAAAGCGAACTATTTCAACACAGTTTCTCAACATATGCAGGCATTAAAATCTGATAAACGTGAAAACAAAGCGCGCGTCGTCACATTAACATTATGAAAGGACTGACTCTAAACAGGGGCGTACGTGGGCACGAACTATGGGCGTCGCTTGAAAGGGGTGCATGCGGACAAAGAATTGTGTTCAAGAGCGACGAGCATGATCCTTGATTCGAAGTTTTGCTCTTAGTATTAATCTTACGTTTCTCTAGTTTGACAGGGTCGCAACTTAAGTTCTTTCCGCAGGCGTCTGATGTCCCCGGAATGACTCCGATCCCCAAACAATAGATAAGGTCTTTAGCATTTTCCTTCCATATTCTTAAATATACAATCTTACAGTTAGGTTACTTAAAGAATTAGAAACTGCTTATCTTACGCAACCCATTAAATCTTTTAGTAAATTAAATTATGGTATCGATACGACATATTGAATGGGTGTTTATAACAAGTAGGTAAGTAGCGTAACCAGTATTTTCGGAAAGGTGGGGGTGGACGGCCGAACCGTCGAATGGGGATGGAGACGCAAATCGAGTGTATCGAAGGCACCAGATACATAGTGGGTGTAAAAAAAAAGGGGGGGGGGTAGATTCAAAATGCATGGATGCATTTTGGCGCATAACTAAATTTAGTTTTTCATTATTCAACACTTAATCAGAGAACAGCAGATGAAATGCTAGCGGAAATGTATGGCCTCTGGGTAAGCATAAAGCAGATTTTCACTACATTGAGAAACATTTCACTTTTATAATGATGATGAGGTGACATTATGTGGCACATCTTTCAGTAGCCAAAATATTCTCCAATTTTATGGCTTCTAAAATATTTTGCTATTACGGAATTTATTTGGTTAAAATCTCTCTTGTTCCTCTGGGGAGGGGGGAGGGGGGAGAGAGGGGGGAGGGGTTTGTGGCGGATAGAACGTCGTCTAAGAGTAGGTCCCAACCGCATGGCCTCGGAAACAATGTAAGAGTCTAGCACTCTCTTGCTGTCTTCTAGCCCCCACAAGTTACAAGATTGAAATAGAAAAAAAAAANAAAACCAACTCTGTATGTAAACTGATACAACACAAAGAAACATTCCCATTAAAAGACGCAATTAAAATATTCATTTGATACAAATAAAAGCAGGGACAGCCAGTTGCGTCACTAGGGGGTGCGGGGGGGGGGAGGGAAGACCACACAGGATGAGACTTTCACAGGGTGACACCCTCACGGGGTTGTGACACAAAAAAACAAAAAAAAAAAAAAAAGCAAATTTCACGTTCGCTCGAGTCGGTTAAATACCAGAACAAGATGTCATCAGAGCAAGGTGCAACCAGAAAAGGGTGCTATCAGAACAGGATGTTATTTAAGTTTTATATTACAACTTAAATTTGTTGAAATCAACAAAATACTCAATGCAGTCATTATTCAACTTTTTAAAACAAATATTTTAAGGAATAATTTTTTTTGATCGTCAATTGTCGTAAATTTTAAAATATATAAGAGAATATCACACACAAAAAGTAAAAAATATTTTTTCCCCTTAAAAATTGTTGTCCCTTATAATCATGTAAGCAATTTTAAGTGCTCTCCTCCAGCCTCCACCCCTTACAGTTTAGATTAGTTATTTAGGCCTAATTAATTAAGAATTATCAGTTAAAACACAATTTTATCTCGAAACAGTTGGCAAGATGTTTTTTGACATAATATTTTGTCATTAAAAAAAATAATGACTGATTTCATTTTCGGGGTTTATTTAAGAAGTTTATAAAAATAAATTAAAAAACAAAAAAAAAATACAAATAGAATTGTAAATAATTTTGCGAAAGAAAAATCAAGTCTACCTTTTAAGACATTTACCTTTGACATTGGCCTTGACCTTTAATCACCGGCTGTGAATAGTCAACAAGGACAAGTTTGCTTTTCGATTCAACAGATTTATAACGCAGCTTTGTTGACAGAGTGAGAAAGCAAAAATTGCATAAAATGGCTGGAAGGGAATTTCTAACTCAAGATCCAGCTTGGAAAAGCCTGAAGAGCTTTTACGACTCAAATGCAAAAAGTCTGAAGATGTTACAACTTTTTAAAGAAGATCCTCGGAGATTTGAGAAATTTAGGTATGAACTCTAAATTTCTAAATACTCCTAACTGAAATAATTCAGAAATATGCCATGGCAGAATGAGTGCATCCGAAATGTATCGTATGATACATCAAGTCCAATAGTTGGAATATAATTAAGTATTGACGCCATGATATTCCATCAGTACAGTGTTAAATAAATAATAGAAATAATACAATAATAGTTAGGCTATACTATATAGGACTCCATAGACGCATAGAATAGGCCTAAATTTATACAAATATAGTCATTTCATAAATGATAATCATACTCATCATTATTCATAGTACTCATACTATACCTCATAATTAATATTATTTAAATAAAATAGAATATAGTTTATATATATATATAGGCGGTTAATGTTGGTTTGGTTGCCATCTTTGTTGCTATGTCAGCACCACAGTGTCATGACAACCAAGAAGTCGGCTGTGTATAAGAAAAAGGAGTGCAAACACATGTCTGCTAAAATGGGAGGGGAAAGTGAAAGAGAGTGAATGTGCTGTTTTAACTACTTACAGAGAGAAATGAAAATAGGGACAAAACGTTAAAATTTAATGAAATAATTTCAGTTTCAGCCAGTTCATTATTTTCATGGCGAACCTAGCAACTTTATTGTATCCCACTAGATAATACTAGATATGAAACAAAAAGTGTCATTGACCTGTGGTCACTCCCTTCCTTCAAATAAAACATATGTACTTAACACACTGTGATAAGAAAAGTGTAAAAATGAAGAAAAACAATACAAAATATTTGTTAAAGTAATCAAAACCCAACTTACAGTTTTATAGAATACACTTTTACACAGTTTATTGCAAGTTCTACCAAAAATAAAATCCCAAAAGTTGTCAGAAAAATGTAAACCCATTCCATGATGCCGCAAAAATTTAGCCTCATTTTAAGTCTCATTTTAAATCTCTTTTTAAAAATTATAATTAACTACCCAATGAAAAATTAATTTAAAACATTTGATCAGTGTATTAATATTAAAAAAAAAGAAATTTAGCTCTAGTAACAATCCAAAGGATAAACAAAAGGGACAGAATTCTACACAGAAAGTCAAAGTGGCGTACTGAACTAACATTACCCATCATAGTCATATACTCTTATTTTTTGAGACTTGAGAAGCCTACAATTTGTTAAAAAAGTATAGAAATTTGTTAAAAAAGATGTAAAATATATTTGTCCCAAGGGGCCATCCATAAATGTCATCACACCTTATTGGTAGATTTTGGACAACACATCATCACAAACTATCACAAATGTTTCACACATTTTAAGAACCCTCAAAATAATACCCTTGTCTCAAATTTGTCAACCGTACTGAACCCGTACTTCCCTCCCCCTAGAAGTGTGATGTCACTTATGGAAACCCACAAATAGTAATGTGAATGTAGACAGTATTTTATATAATAATATAAACTATATTTGAAAGCCAGGGCAGATTATTCTTTGTGAAATGCAAGTATCCACTGACAGTTTAAATAAAAAACACGGAAGCTGGCCACAGTGACCACAGGCTTCATGTTTGCAAAAGCCTTAAAAAAAAATCCAGGCTATGAATATACTCACTGCTTTATATCCTGTCATTAAATTTTAAGATCAAATATTTTATGTTAGAGATAACAGTGCAGCTCAAGCTGCTTTTTTCAATAGGGGGAGGATGGCAGGGTGTTGGAATGTATACGATCATTGTTTATTTGGGCCTAAATTTTGGTGCCCTCCATGGAAATACCAACCATTAATACAGGTATAGAGAAAAAAGAGCAGCCCGGGATGGACTGCCCACTCAATCCCACCCTATCTACACCAGAGTTCCAACATCAACATTTTAGAATGAAACTTGAGTGATAGTTGCATGTTCCCTTTCAGCTGCGCCGCCCAGCTAACTCACAGACGCCGCGCAGCAGTTTTGTGTATTCGAGCAGAAAATTTCCATATAAGTGTGTGTTTTGTTTGTGGGCTGCAAAATTGTGCACTCACAAAAATTTATGCTGTAAAACTTTGCACACAACTGTACGATTTTGCACATGAACCAGCAACCCTTAGAGGGAACATTGGTTGCATGTTGACAAAATTCTGGCGTTCAGATGAAACATGCTTCTCTTAATGTGTGAGACGTATTATTGATTAACTGTCATGTGTTGTATTTGTCTCCATTACCATTATCAGGAAAGTTAGGCTTGGGATGAAATGAAGTTTAATTATTTATTATCTTTGTTTTCTAAAATCATACCATGAACAATGACTTATAGATGGTAAATATTTTGCTTTTAGTGTTTCTCTGGATGGGAAGGATGGAGCTCTTCTTGTTGACTTCTCAAAAAACTTGATTAATGATGAAGTCTTCCAGTTGCTAATTAATCTGGTAAACATCTTTATATGCTTTTTTGTAAACATGAAATTATTTTGTAAGGAAGACTAAAGGCCAGTTTTTACCAAAGAAAAGTTGAATAAAAAAACATTATTTTTAGCTAATTATTTAATTTATTTTTATCACAATGTTTAATGAAGTATAAGAATGAGGCCATTTTTCTCATTATCATTATTTTACATGAAAAAAACAACAACCTGGGATGCCCTCCCAAATACACAAACAGTAGTGAAAACTTGTTTTTATATATCAGCTGAAATCAGCCCAAGTGGAGAAAATGAGAGATGCAATGTTTGCTGGTGAAAAAATCAATTTCACTGAAGACAGGGCTGTTCTGCACACTGCCTTGAGGAACAGAGCCAACACTCCTATTTATGTGGAAGGAAAAGATGTAAGGAAAATATGATTGATATGTTGACTTTTTCTTTTACATTTAAAAAAAACCCAAACATTTGTAGGATTTATTTTATTAATGGATATAGAGCCTGTATTTGAGTGGATATTTTGATGTCTTTGTCACAACCGTCTTAGGCAGTGGAATGCAACCATGATACTCTATGCTTGTAGCTTTATCCAAGTAATCTCTTCTTTTGTCATGCTAGGGATCTATTCTGTTAAAATATCGCTTAAGTTATCATTAAATTCACCATCTGTTTGTCAAAAATGTTTCGTTAAATAATTGTTGCTCAATTTATACTTAAGTTCTGTTTCATTCAAAACTGAAATGAGAGAACGGCCTAGCAGAAATTAAACTGTATTTCAGGTCATGCCAGACGTCAATGCTGTCTTGAAGCACATGCGTGAGTTCACCGACAAAGTGCGTAATGGTTCATGGCTAGGGTACACTGGAAAGCCCATCACTGACTGTGTAAATATTGGAATTGGTGGATCAGATCTTGTAAGTTCTACATCCACATCTCAGTAAAACTGGGATATATAAGTGTAAAAGATTTTTATCTAGAAAAAAAAAAGGGCAGGAATAGAAATTTTCAACAGATTTCAAATTTTTATTTTAGAAAGATTAGGGGTTCATTTATTTATATTGTAAACATTTCTCTCTTAAAACAACTTATTATTGTCATTGCTATCTTTAAATTAAAAGTTAAATTAATGTAAAAACTTCCTTCCCTCATAAAATACATTGTTCTTTTATATTTTTATAGTTTAATATGTAACTATGGGTCTAAGCTGGATTTGTCCTTTGTAATACATAACTCAATATTTGTTTTGTTATTTTATAAGAAATCTGTTAATATATACCTGTGTCATCCCAGTTCTAAATAAAAAAGCTCTGTGTTTACAATGACATAAGTTTCCACAATTCACAGGGTCCAGTGATGGTGACTGAAGCACTAAAGAAGTATCAGTGTGGCCCCACATCACATTTTGTCTCGAATGTGGATGGCACCCACTTGGCAGAGACTGTTAAAAAGCTGAATCCGGAGACCACTTTGTTTATTATTGCATCTAAGGTACGTCCCAAATGTGAGACATTGCAATGCTTCTATGGTAAGTGTAATGAAAGTTTTGATTTTTTAAATAAACATGAATATGGCTCATCCTTGCTATGTGATTAAGTTGTAATAATTGCAATAAATGTGAATATGGTCCATCTTTGCCGAGTTATTAAGTTTTGATTTTTGCAATACATGTGAATTTGGTCCATCCTCGCTGGGTTATTAAGTTTTGATTTTTGCAATACATAGAAAATGGTCCATCCTTGCTGGATGAAAAAGTTTTGATTCATGATTTTTTTAATTGCTTAAATTCCTCCAGACTTTCACAACTCAAGAGACAATAACCAATGCACTTTCAGCCAAACAGTGGTTTCTGCAGTACGCTAAAGATGTAAGTCAGCAAGGTGTTGTACCTGTAAATCTCAGTATGAAGTTGATGGGTCTAACTGCTGCATAGATATGCTTCACTATTGACAATTAACATTAGTTAGATAAAAATCTGAAAGAAAAAAAAATTGCAGTGTTTCTTAAGTTATTAATATTGGCACTTATTGGTGGTTAAACAATTGAAGTGAAAAAAATTTTTTTTTAACTAACATAATGCATTTGGTTGTTTATGGAAACAGTTTAAATTTCAAAATGAATGAATTAATATGAAGAAGAAATTGTTGTTTTCCTTTAGTGGAAATTTTTTTTTCTTAATGGGAAGAATATTTATTAATTGCATACAATTTCTCTTAAACTTGTGTGTCATACATAACTTGTCTTGTGTCTCATACAGGAGGCAGCCGTGTCCAAGCACTTTGTGGCCCTGTCAACGAATGGCGTAAGTCAAGATTTATAGAACACAAATTTCTCTTGAAAACATAGTACTTTCTGTGTAACTGATCTGGAGCTGGGAGTTTTGAGTTGAACATTTTTCTAATATTGATTCTTTAAACAAAATTTCAAATAAAAAGAAAAACTGTATATGACTTTATATGCATAGAAATGATAGTAAAATGTCCAGCCCTGCAGTCCAGTGGCCATGTTTTTTGTTTCAGTAAACTTTGATGCTGACACTGTTATGATTAAAATTGTGCTAAAATTAAAATTTCAGAAAATATTAACCACACCATTTTATCACAGGCTAATTATCTTCAACTAATTATTTTTTTTTTTACTGTTAACAGCCCAAAGTGAAAGAGTTTGGCATTGACGAGGCCAACATGTTTGAATTCTGGGATGTAAGTGTGCTTCAGTATCCAACTAGATCACTGGTTCTCAACCTTCCTAATGCCGCGACCCTTTAATACAGTTCCACATGTTGTGGTGCTCCCCCAACCATAAAGTTATTTTTATTGCTATTTCATAAATATGTGTTTTCTGATGGTCTTAAGAGACCACTGTGTAAGGGTTGTTCGACAAACACCCCCCACCCCCCGGGTTGTGACCTACAGTTTGAGAACCGCTGAACTAGATATTTAAATACTTTTTTATCAATATGGATTCAATAAGATTATCAGCAATTGTAATGGACAGATTTATGTATAATTTGAGAAAATCAAAATACACAGGTGGTGCAAAATATATGTTTTTTTTAGTGATTCTCAGACTGTATGAGTTGTACAGCGGCGTAGCGAGGGTGTTTGGCGCCCGGGGACAAGATTCGCGCCCGGGGACAAGATCCATTTTAAAGCGCCCCTTTTTCTATTTTTCAACTTTCAAACCCATTATTTTCATCAATAAAATAACATCAAAGCACATTTTGGCGCCCCTAACTACCTGGCGCCTGGGGACATCTGTCCCCCCTGCGCCCCCCTCGCTATGCCTCTGGAGTTGTATGTGAGTCAGTGTGTTACCAGGTTAAACAGTACAGGTTTTTATCCTCTGTACAGGTTTGTTTATTGGGCAACTGTCGGTGAAATAACAAAATAATTATTTTGTCCCTGTTTTTCAAGAGAATCTGATGTATATAACAACACTGGCCATGTGTTTCAAAACATTAGTTAACCCACGAACTGTGGCATGCATCATTCTGTGGTGTGGAGCTTTTCAGAGCGTTTTGAGTGCTATTTGAAATTGCATTAAATGACATAGAAATATTGATACAAGATCCCTATAAGTATATATTTTTAGAAAGGTAAATGGATGGGGTTAAAATTGACCATATTGCCAACCCCCTAAAAAAATTTTGCTCTGTGTCCTTGACCTTGGAGTTCTCAAGAAAAAAAAATTTGAAAAAATGGCTTGCTTTCAAGTGCTCATAACATCATTAATTTTTATAGATACCGTAAAATGGAGTAACTTTGGTCCATTTTATGTGAAACATTGAATATTCCGACAATACCCGTAATTGTAATTATGAATTTAATAGTTTATCTCATGGGCTATAGCATGACCATTAAGTACAAATAATTCAAAAACGATTATTTCTTCAATTTTTTTATTATTTTAAAAAAATTATTAGTGGCCAAAGTTACCCCAACATGGGGTTACTTTGGCAGGCTATACAAAGAATATACAAAAACAAAGTTTGACAAAAATAGGGTTACCTTGGCCACAAAAGATATTTTTTAAATGTAAAAATTAACACTGAATGATAATGTTCATTTAGTAAACTTTTCAAAAATGTTAGTAAACGTGCCTTTCTTAGGTGCTGGTAGCCATTCTTCATCTGAATCAGAAAAGGATATGTTGCCCATACTATCAGAATCACTACTTGTCTGATGTTCAGAAAGGTTAGCAGCAAGATCATGATGTGGTTGGTCTGCAATTACATTCTCTGTGCTGCTAGGAGAAGGAGAATCATGTGTGTCAGTATCTATAACCTCATCCTCAGAAGGCCCAACAACACTTTTTCCAGGCTCAACATCCAGACGACGCTTACGTCTCTGTGTTACCTCATCCTCTTTGCCAAACTGCATCTCTTGTAGGTGAGATACGAATGAATCTGCAACTGATGTGTTGACTGAGTCCTCATTTTCATCATTGTGTGGAATATGCTTCAGGACAGGTTCAGGGTCTGTGGGGGTAAATTCCAGATTTTCTAAATCCAGCCCTAATATTGTCACCAGCATTGACACTGATACCATCCATTAGAAGAGTGCTTCTCGTGATCCCTAACTCAGCACACACAATGCTCTGACTAGCTCCACTTGTTATCATGTCACAGGCCTTCTGGAGTTGTTCGTCATCACACAAGGCATATTTTCTGGTCCCAGGCTTTTTCTTGTATGTGCGTGACATGGCTGGGTCTGAAGCATAAGACAAATATAAGGTACAGATTAAAATAAATCCATTCTTCGACTTGAGATTATCGGTACTCTAAATTAGAACCAAAATATTCAATTTAAAGGCCTAGGAAAAAAACAACAACAAATTCCACTGAATAAAGTACTAGTTCAAATTCTTAACGTGAAAACCATATGTTTCAATAAAATCACACAAGTAAATCAATGGGCTAACACATGGCCAAAGTTACCCCAAAGTAGTGATATTTATTGGGGTAAAATTGGCCACCTGCCTAATTTTATTTTATCTTGAAAATTATATCTAAATAATATAATTAGCATCTAAAGCATCTTATTATGCACAATATTATATAATTATATTATACTTACACTTACTTTTGTGTTGTGAAAAAATACAAAGTTTGCAGTTTGAAAAAATCAATACAAAATGGCTGCCAAAGAAGAATGGTTGTATTTCTGCACCTAATGTAATAGGACACCAGCACATTGATTGAAAATATTTTGAAATGGTTTAATATTTGACACAATTTAGTTTCAATTGCCAGTAATAATTCAAAAAATAAATATACAATTTTAAATCTTTTTTCTCCCCCTGGCCCAAAGTTACCCCAACAGGCCAAAGTTACCCCATTTTACGGTACACTTAAAACACAATCTAAATGTTGTAGCCAATTCATTTATCTTTAAGAAAATGTATAGTTTGCTAATGTCTTGATTGCAATTAAACCTCTGAAAGCAATTTTTGTAATTTTAGGTCATTTATATAAGAAACTGGGACCACTGCTAAAACCAAGTACAAAATAGGAAATCTCAGGCAAAATAGTTATTATTGACTAGTAAACATTTAAAAAGGAACTGTGGAACTGATTTGGGTTGTTTAACTATAAAATTTATTAGTTCTGAACTATAATCTGTAGCTTCTGTGACTAAAATTCAGCCAGTGCTTGCCCAACCTCCGGGCCTGGCTCGTCGTCTAACATTAGCCCCAGTAGGCCTACTTCAGTATCACTAAGACTTGTATTAAATTCCCGAGAAGAATAATCTCAACTGATATCGTCATGGGGCATGTTAAAATCATGATCAGTATCACTTAAATTCTCCCCTGAAAAGCTTTCAAACATCTTTCTATTAGTTCTTGCACTGAATGACCCCAGTCATGGCTTTCAACCATATTTCTATTAGTTCTTGCACTGAAGGCCCAGCCATAGCTTTCAAACATATTTCTATTAGTTCTTGCACTGAATGACCCCAGCCATGGCTTCAACCATTTTAGCTTTTAAAAAAACAGTGATATAAAACTTGGATTAAAAAGTATTTATTTTCAAGTTATCACCAAACAGCTTGAGCCGGAAGGTGATTTAATTATTATTAAAAGGAAGTGGCTATAATTCCGGTTAAATTTTGGATGGGAAGTTGCTATCGGACCCTGTTTTTTATCGGGAAAGTCTGCCTGCCGATTTTTTCGGCCGACCGCAGTTCGTGGGTTAATTTCCCACACTATCAGGGTATTTAAATCATTCTATTTTAGTACTAGGAAAAATAAGGTTTATAGGTTGGATCTAGTGGTTAGTGAGACTTGCAATTAAATCATAGTTTTTGCTAAGAGACCTGGGTCACTGTCCTTGACCTCCCATCATGACCCCAGTTCACTGACCTAGGCATCACATCATGACCCTGGTTCACTGTCCTTGCCCTCCCATCGTGACCCTGTTTCACTGTCCTTGACCTCTCTTTATGATCATCATTTTGATTATTTTTTTCCCCTTCCCCCATGCCTTTCCTCCAGTTCCAACCATCATCTCCCCAGCCTGCCACTCTTATTCCTCCAGTCATTTTAACCACTCTCCCATTTTCACTGCCATTTCCTACATCACTCGGTATATCCCTGAACCAATGTACACTTTATCATGCTCCTCTCAATAACATCTATCTCTCAACCCATGATCCCCTTCCCTAATCCCAAGCCCACCTTCACACCCCACCCCTTATCTTGTCCTAGCATATCCCCTATACTACCAGATTCACACTCTCCCCCACATACCCTGTAACCTATCCAATTTAACCGCCCCCCCCCTCCCCCTTAAAATTCATCTGTCTTATATACTAGCTTCTGAAAAAAAAAAGAAGAAAGTCCTAACAAAATAAAAAATTGAATGTCAGAAAATTGAAATTGATGATTAAGGAGAATGGAATAGAAACTTATCAAATAGCTTTTGGAAATCTCCGTTTTTAGTTATATTTATATCAGGTCAGCTTATTTTCATGTAACATATATATCTATTGTTTCAGTGGGTTGGAGGACGGTACTCATTGTGGTCAGCTATTGGTCTCTCCATCGCCCTCATGATTGGTCAGTTGAAAGCACTTCTTCTATTCTGAAAGTTTACATTTGTTTATTAGCTTAAGTTGTTCAGTTTTTTTTTCACACCAAGAACTTCTCAAAGTATTTAAACTGTTGTCAATCCAATCTTTTATTTTCCTTGCGTTAAATTGTACCAAGCATTTTGTCATCCTAAGCTCATCTTCTTTCTTCCAGGGATGGATAACTTTGAGCAACTCCTTGAAGGTGCTCATCACTTGGACAAACATTTCCTGGAAGCTCCGGTTGAGAAAAATGTAGGTAGTCTGGTTGAAAGCTGGTCAGAAAAATATTTGGTTTTATCAAATGACACAAATGTTCTGTGAAGCTAAAATAATGTTAAGTTGACATGATGCTTGGTGGTTGCACCTTTACAAAACATGATATCCTTCAAGGGCCCCTTGCTGAAATTGCTAGCCTAAAAAACTGTGATTTCAGTGACAAAAAGTAATTTATTACTAGAACCCACGAAGGAGAATTCTGTTATATAATTTTTCCATAACGTCAAGCACCAAAGCACATTTTAGGAAATTTGACAGAGGCGAGAATGTGTTCTAACATGATGTAGCAGTTGATTTATTTCTGGTGCAAATAGTACTACTATCTCCTCAGATCCCCATGATACTGGCTGCACTGGGCATCTGGTACTCCAACTTTTATGGTGCACAATCCTACACAATTCTACCATATGACCAGGTATGTTGATGCTACTGTCTTCCAGGCAGCTGAATACTTTTTATGCCAAGCGAAAGTCGCCCCTAGAATTATGCAATTTCTTCAGTTACCTGAAACTGTTGAGGATGTACAATAACAACCTTACATAGTTGCACAACAGTAGGGCTCCAGACTTGTCACAAACTATTTTGACACAGTGGTCAGTACAGGCCCGCTCCTCTATGTGATATACAATTTTTGTGTCTAGGAATTGATACAGACGGAAGCATAATGTATACGTGAATTAATCCAAACAACAACTCCAAGATCACAGATCACGATGGTTTTATCACTGATTTAAAGAGTTCTTCTGTAATCCTCATTAGGATTTTTCTCTGTAACTACACTGTCCACATTTCTTGCTTCAGCTGCTTGACTTTATTAACTCAACAAGGCTCTCTCTGCTCAACTCAGTTGTCTCAATTCTTCAATTATCCAAGTTTCCTCAAACATCTACTTTTTATTCTCTATCTAACTCTTGGATGGTCCAGGTATGCCTCGACCTGTTAACTTATCCCTGAACAACCCCCCCCCCCCTTCTTTTTTTTCTATACTCATAATGAACAACCCCCCCCCCCCTTTTTTTTTGTCATTACCTGCTAATTTGGAACTTCCATCTTAACCCCAATATTTGCATATACCGCCCGGAAAGCATGAACATACAATCCCTCTATCTCAAGCTGTGAGCATCTTTAACTCTGACCTCAAAATAAACAGCAATTTCTGGCCGACCTATAAGTTACCCCAACAGCAATGGGGTACTGTACTAAAATGATCGGGTACTGTACTACACCCAGCGCTAGTCATTTGTAACAAGCTGAGAGTAGTAGTAGCAAATATTAGAGTTTTGTGGTCCAGACTATTTGTTACTTGGATCAACAACAACAAAAAAAAGGTTTTAAAATTACTGTTACTATATCACAAAATGATCTAACTAGAATCAGACCTTGAGTGGCTGAATACACTTGTGGGTGAATATATAATTGTTATTTTTCAGTATCTTCATAGGTTCCCAGCTTACTTCCAGCAGGGGGACATGGAGAGTAATGGCAAGTACATCACTAGATCTGGTCAACGGGTGGACTACAGCACTGGACCTGTGGCGTGGGGGGAGCCTGGTACTAATGGTCAACATGCTTTCTATCAGCTCATTCATCAAGGTAAGTGTTAGGGTCAGTACTGTTACTAGCAGTGATCTTTAGCAGTGGTCAATTAATTCAATTCTTTAACCATTCAAATTAACTTGTGAAGTCTAAGTACCATCAATGTCTTTTACATGTCAGGATTTGTAAATGCTCCTTTAAGCTTGACAGCTCTGAGAAACCAATGCAGGGGTCTCATGTATCAATGAAGAAGGGGTCGAAACTCTTAATACAACATGCTCGACTCAAGTAGAAGTTAGAAGTAATGTATCCCAACATCTTCTATCACCAGGAACCAACTTGATCCCATGTGATTTCCTGATCCCTGTAGAAACTCAGAACCCAGTACAGAATGGCCTTCACCACCAGGTCAGGAAACTTTGGGTTTTTAATTTGGATGTAGTGTGTAACAGACATACTAAACATTCGTGTGACACACATAATGATTGAGCTGTGCCGTGTTGATTTGGGTGACATAAAGCTGACCCTGTTGTCTAATTTTGACCATAACCTACGAGTGTTGTGATGATTTTAACACTTTTTACACATAGCACCCGGAGTAAAAAAATCTCTTCCCCCCCCATACGGTTATAAACAGGGTAAACTCAATAACTTTGTCAGGTGGGATGATATTAATTTGGCTTAGTTCATTTTGAATACAGGAATCTGTATTACTACAGATAGCATAATTCACTGAGGAATTATGTCTAATTACGTCTAAATTGCTATCAAACTCGTCATGTGAATCCATTTTAAACAAAATTGATACAGATATTGATCATTGTAAAAATCTCAAAATGTTCAGAAAATCAGGTCATGTTCAATTAAAAGTTGGCATTCATCCATTTAATTTATGAATGAAATAAACAGCATAAGGGATATTGTTGATATTTGAAATAGAGTACCTTTGGCAACATGTGGATGAAAAGGATAAAAACTGTCGCCACAGCTTGTCTTAGTGTGGTTTTAAAGTCTCAACATGTGTTTATTCCAGATTCTGTTGTCCAATTTCTTGGCTCAGACCGAGGCTCTGATGAGAGGCAAAACCTTGGAAGAAGTGGAGAAAGAGCTCAGGGACTCTGGCATGAGCGAGTCACAGATCAAGCTGATAGCACCTCACAAGGTAAGTCTCTGTCCACTCTAGCTTGGCACTTGGCTCAGCCTTTAGATGCCGATAGTGTCTATGGCTTGTTGAACCCTAGAAATATTAAATTCCGTTTATGAAAACCATAATTAATTTGTTTACTAATTATGAGTGAAGCATCAAGTTGAAGTCTAAAGAGCTGCAGATGCTCTTTTTAATCTTGAACCATCTAAGGCTATGCTTTTCCACATCACAAACATCACATCAGGACACAGTAAGTCAGCATTATTTTCTCACCTATAACAAATTGTCAAGCCCTGGATTATTTTCCAATTCTCTCTGCCAGGTGTTTGAAGGCAATCGTCCCAGCAACTCTATTGTCTTCCAGAAGTTGACACCTTTCACCCTTGGCACGCTGATTGGTATGTGTCTGATTTTTAAAAATTGAATTTACTTTATTTATTTAAAGTTTATTGAATTCCATTGAAACTCAGCTCAAGCCTACTAGGCATAATAAGTGGAGGCAACATTATTTACATGACTATTTAATTTTCATTAAAAGTACATTGATAGGAAACTTTTGGCTGATTTTGATATCATAATAATTTAATAATACAAAAAAGACAGATGAGCAACAATGAGTTCTTATCTCTAATGCACTGGTTCCCAACCATTATGACTCATGGAGCCCATTTTTAGAAACATTTTGTACGGGGGGAGCCCCTTTGTCCTACCCTATATCGTACAGGCTAATATTGCTTAGGAGATCGCTTCCTGTGTCCACGTAGCCCCTGAGAGAAGTGTATGCAGACCCCAAAGAGCTCGGCGGAGGACAGTGTGAGAGCCACTGCTCTGTTGTATTTAATGAGATTAGTTGTATAACAATTTTATATCAGTCTGTAGGATGTCAATGTAAATGTAATGTCCCCCAATTGATGATTGGTGTTGAAGGTTGGATCTTTTCAACCTAAATTTGTGTCTACGTCATGTTCACGTGCTTTGACCCATTCACAGCGATGTATGAAATGAAGATCTTTGTGCAAGGTATTGTCTGGGACATCAACTCATTTGACCAATGGGGGTGAGTTGTGCTGCTGCATGTCTAATTATTAATTTGTTACCAAATTCCAAAACAAAGGGAAATAACTACAATTTTAATTTGAAATTTTACTCAACAAAGGGATGTATACAGGAACATTTACGAAAAATAAAATTTGGTCCTTAGGAAAAGGCAGTTTTCATACTTATAGCTATGTAATTGATGGAGGAGGTTATGGGACTTGAATGATCTGTTATACAAAAAAAAGTTGAGCTATTTCAATTGAGCATTTTGTTTGTAAATTTATGTCTTAGGCGATATTCCGATAGCTCAGCATGTTATGTTTGATGGCCTATTATTGATGTAATATACCTATGACCTCTTCACAGTGTTGAACTTGGCAAGGTGCTAGCAAAGGCCATACTGCCAGAACTGACCTCCCCGAATGTGATCGCCAGCCATGATAGTTCAACCAATGGACTCATTAATTACATCAAGGCAAGCAAGCGCTGATTTAGCACCTCACAATGATCCAGTTCTGTTCTGTTTTTGTATGTGACTTAGTTGAAGTAAATTGACAGAAACTCCACTCCCCAACAGTCTCCATCTGTTGGTAACTCTAGCCACTTGTGACATGTTACCCAGACAGCTCTGTGTTATTTTTTATTTTTTTCATTAAATGGTCTAGTTACCGATATGTCTGTTTTTGTTATTGAGTGCACACAATCAAATTAGTATCTGATGTTTAGGTGGTTTAAAAAAAAAATTATTTGCCTGTATCATTGTGGTGCTTATCTGATTTTTATTTCTGCATGTTATTGCAAAACTGGATATTTTTTTCATTTTTGAAAATTGCAGTGTCTTAGAAAATCTCAATTCAATGTGGAATTAATCTTGTACTTGTACATGGGGAGGGGACAACCTTTTTGCAGAAGTTGTTAATATGAGGAGGTTTGGGGGGTAATCAAAATGTTTGGTTTCATATTTCTTAAACATGTTTAGTTAAAATTTCTGAGAGCTTGTTAACGTTAACAAAACTCTTGTCTATGTTCACACCAGACATTAAGATATGGGTTAACTCATAGAAACCATGATTACTTCTGTAACCAAGCTCAATGCCTTGCACAACCTTCTTAAGGTGGAATTGGAGGGGAGGTAATGTTTGATGTTGAAGTTTCAATTTTAACACTGTTTAAAAGTCTCTTCCCAAATTATTTTTTGTACTTCTGAATTGTATTATTTTAGGGCCACAACTTTGATGAATTGATATGGTAGTGGTTTTAAAACAAGTTTTCAATATGCTAACATTGCAAAAAAGAAAAAAAAATTATTTTAAAATTAGAAAAATGAATATTTTGTTCTCATCAAAACTCTATGTCAACTGAATAATTACACAATATTTTCTATACACTGTTCAACAATATAGTTATCAAAAATGGTTACGCATTAAAACAAAATACACATAAATTAATAATTTGTTTTGAAATCAATTTTTTCAAATTATTAAAAAGAAAAACTTAGCACATTTTCCCTTAGTGAGCTGATATTTCCAAATTATTTTCTTTTCAATAATATATATCCCCTGAAGATGCTTCTTATTCCTTAAATATAACTTTATTCCAGTCTATAAATATGTATATTTGGTTAAAAATGACTCCACATCATGCACACCACTGTTTTGAAGAGATGAAATTGCCAGAATGGAACCTTGAGTTTTTTGTAAACCACTATTTATTTATTGATGTGCTGTCCTAGTAGTAATATAGAGAAGTAATGTTTTTGTTCCATTATTTGGGGAGAATTGTAAAGATTTAATAAATTTCATTTGATAAGAAAAGAAATGTTTTGTCTTATGCATTCCATTGTGACCTACTTTACATGTTGGCAGTTTAACACATGGGCAGTTATTAAGACTACCAAAGACTATTAAATAGTTTAAAAAAAAAAAAGCTTTTTTTGAATGATATATCAGCTTTTTAAAAGGCATAACTTATTTAGCATTCTCACCTGAAATGTCTATTTTTCCGCTTCTCCTAGACAACTGGTCTTCTTCTTTCTTCTATATATTAAGGGCCCACGATCAATTTATTGATCATTTTGGCTCCTGTGCATGTAGAGGGGATTTGCAATGTTTCTGTGCCTGGTGTTAATGAGGACATTTCAATGATTTCCAGTGCCACTTTGTGAGGGAATCATGCGCTGGGGGTTTGAAGGTTTGAGGCAATAGATACAAATGAGTCTAGTGTTGTCACCTCAACTGTTCCTTTTGAAAGCTTGTTCCAGTCCCTGATTGTTTTGGGCAGGAATGAGCAGCTTCTATACTGGCTTCTTTCTGGTATGAGCCTGAATTGCCTGTTATGGCCTCATCGGGGAGAGGGACGAGTTTCTGTTTAATACTGGAACAGTGGACCAGCCCATTATTTATCTTGTACATCATGGAGAGCCTGGATTGTCGTCGTCGTTCCTCCAATGGTGACCAGCCTAGTGTTTCCAGCATGCTGCCAACACTAGAGGTATTCCTGTAGCGGTTTAGGACAAAGCGTGCTGCTCGTCGCTGGACCGCCTCCAACCTGTCAATGCTCTTCTGGGTAAATGGGTCCCAGACTGAAGATGCATAATCTAAAATCGGACGGATAAAGGCTTTATATGCTCTTTCTTTCACACAGGACGTGCTGCTCGTCGCTGGACCGCCTCCAACCTGTCAATGCTCTTCTGGGTAAATGGGTCCCAGACTGAAGATGCATAATCTAAAATCGGATGGATAAAGGCTTTATATGCTCTTTCTTTCACACAGGAGTTGCCTATCTTTAGATTACGCCTTAAGAACCCCAGGGTCGTGTTTGCTTGGTTACATACATTGTTAATATGCTCGTCCCAGCGGACCTCTCTTTGAATGGTAACACCCAGGTACTTTACGGAGGAAACTGGCTCAAGTATATGGCTGTACAGTTCGTATTGGTAGTGTAGAGGAGTACAACTTCTAGAGACTTCAATAAAAAAATCCCAAATTAAAAGGATTACTTAAAATAATTCAATACATAAAAATTGCATGTTGGTTTTAATTTTACCTATGGTAATAGAAAGAGTGGAACATAATGAAGGAGGAGGCTGGACAGGAGAGAGAGAGAAACAGCAAGCCCTGGAAAGAGCTTGAAATAAAGCTCCGAGCAGAGATAAAGGAAAAAATAATTATGAATGGCCAGTAGGCAAAATAAGATCACGAGTGTTACTAAAAAAAAGAACGCAGGAAAAAAAAATTATTTTTTTCCCATTCTCTTGTATCAGTCTGTTCTGTTATATATTCACAGTTATCCTTCCTGTGGGGAATTATCTCCCTTCAAATCCCAGGCTTTAACAACATGTTAAGCTAAAATAATGACAGGCACAACTAAATACCACATATGGTTCAAGCACACTTACCATATATGGTTCAAACACACTTACCACATATGGTTCAAGCAAACTTAACTAAAATGTTACAAAAGTTGAGACAGAAGCATGGATATTTATTATCAACCTTACTCCTACGTCGTTCTAAATCAAGGATCCATCAAATGTTAATAGATAATAGGGCGCCTTGAGATAACAGGGCACCTTGAGTTCATTCAAGCGGTGTACTAAAGATATAAATAGTTGAATGGGATTACCCAGACCAAATTCTTGAAATAAAAATGGTTTACAGGTGATAAAGTCATAAAAATTATATTCTCATTAAATTTGAACAAAATGAAGAGGCTGTGGGGACCTTAAAATATCATAAGGACAAAAAATTATGTGTTTGATCAAAATCTTGTGGAATGAAATTATTTTGATACAAAAATAAACCCACCATTTTCTTTAACAATAAAAAAAATTTGAACTCAATAAATTTAAGAAAATGTTTACAAAGGACATAATTACAGATCAATTTTTTCTTTTAATACTTTTATTACAGTGTAACTTGTCATGTATTGATCGTATTCATGGTGTGTAACACAGCACAATTTCCATAAAATTTTATTTTCATGATAAAGGACTTAAAATACACAAAAAAATATTTATTTAAGGTAATGCAAAAATGAATTTCACAATAAAAACTTGACACACCAAATGAAAACATCAAATTTACAAAATAAATTAAGCTGAGGATAAATAATTTATTTCACAAGAGTCCATTTTATATTTGTGTCTATTTTCAGAACAATGGGGGAAGAAAAAAAAGAGATTCTTAACAAGGAGTTTTTCACCAGCTACTTAAAAACTATAATCTGTGTGGAAAACCCATCATTAGAAATCAATGCCTCATATCCTGGATATAATCCAGGCAGGAAAAGATGGTAAAAACGAGAAAGCTTTTATGGATTTTGAAACAAAACATTTCTTATGTTCTGAAAATGGTTTCATAATATACTTAAGAAGGTATGCTCATTAATAGTAGGGTACCTGTGGACTCAATCGTGGTGTTGGAAATAACTTTTGAAAAGTTGCTAAGTTGCAGGCAAACCCCTTGGCTTCAAACTGAGTAGCGTAATGTTATGTCCTCGACACTCATACAACCCAAATAAATTGTCATATGTAATTGGCAGCCATTTCTGTTGAAGCAAATTTGCAGTAGTCACTTTCAGCAAGTTCTCTCGTTTATTTATTAATACCAAATAAAAAAAATAACAAAGAATAAAACCCAAACTAATTTTCGTATAGTCTAATCTGGTATTGAAATAAATATACATGTAGTAACATTTACTTTCTACAAGCAAAACATCCTTTTAAATGAATTTGAATTTTTCAACTTATTAAAGCCATTTGTCAATTTTCTCATGCAGTATTACAGTAATTATTAAAGCTCCCTGTCAGTTCTTCTGTCATGTTTTACAGTATTTATAAGGTCTTCCAATAACGCCATTCCCTTGATGTCACATTAAATCCGTCTGTAAATCCCCTAAAGCTTGGTTCAATTTTTTCACTTTGTTTTCCATGGCTCGTTTGTTTGATTCTGTCTCCCTAAGTAGGTCACGCATTTCTTCTTCCACTACAGCCACCTGAAAATGTAAGGGAACATCAAAACAAATGACAAGAATTTAAAATATTTTACCTAAAATAATAACATGACAGAAACTTAACTAAATGTTACCTAAAACAATAACATGACAGAACTTTAACTAAATGTTACCTAAAACAATAACATGACAGAAACTTAACTAAATGTTACCTAAAATAATAACATGACAGAAACTTAACTAAATGTTACCTAAAATAATAACATTACAGAAACTTAACTAAATGTTACCTAAAATAATAACATTACAGAAACTTAACTAAATGTTACCTAAAATAATAACATGACAGAACTTAACTAAATGTTACCTAAAACAATAACATGACAGAAACTTAACTAAATGTTACCCAAAACAATAACATGACAGATCTTAACTAAATGTTACCTAAAACAATAACATGACAGAACTTAACTAAATGTTACCTAAAACAATAACATGACAGAAACTTAACTAAATGTTACCTAAAAGAATAACATGACAGAAACTTAACTAAATGTTACCTAAAACAATAACATGACAGAACTTAACTAAATGTTACCTAAAACAATAACATGACAGAAACTTAACTAAATGTTACCCAAAACAATAACATGACAGATCTTAACTAAATGTTACCTAAAACAATAACATGACAGAAACTTAGCTATGTTACCTAAAACAATAACATGACAGAAACTTAACTATGTTACTTAAAACAATAACATGACAGAAACTTAGCTATGTTACCTAAAACAATAACATGACAGAAACTTAACTATGTTACTTAAAACAATAACATGACAGAAACTTAACTATGTTACCTAAAACAATAACATGACAGCAACTTAACTATGTTGCTTAAAACAATAACGTGACAGAAACTTAACTATGTTACTTAAAACAATAACATGACAGAAACTTAACCATATGTTTGTTTAAAAAAAATAACTTGACGGAAACTAAGTATGAATTACTCAAAAATAAATGTTTTAGCTGCAAGCGCCAGGTTTTGGTCAAAATAACCTGACATGCTCACACCCCAAGGGGTTGCGATTTGGCATTTCAGGGGTGAGAGGAAAAGTGAACCAGAGAAGAGAGGTGAGAAATAAGCATTTAAGTTATGATTTGAATGTTTATATCATTGAAACACATTCTTCATCTATGTTTTCCTATATGTGATAACAATTTATTTTCTAAGTTCTACAGCTCCCTTTACAGTTTATTTAATTTTTTTGGTAGAAATTATCGTTTTAAAATACAATGCTACTCATGCTGGGGGTGGGAGCTTTAGTCAAATAATTCATAGGGGGTATAGAAAAGGTTGGGAAAAAACTGCAGTAAAAGTTAAATAATTCCAGAAATAAGTATCAAAAATGATTATTTATGTGTATTATCTC